AGAGAGAAGCAGAAATTTTGTTGCTGGACAATAATCTTCTCTAGGTATTTTGTATTCTCTTCATATTGGTACAGCAGCAAGATGCAGCATTATTCCTCAGCAGCTGTCACACTGCATCCACTTCTTGAGAGGTTCCCTATAGAAACTCTTGTGACTTCTCTCTAGAACAAATGTCACTAACACCAGGAGAATTCTGATGGAAAACTGTGAACTATGTAGCCCTGCCTTAGCCTTTATACACCAGTAAATGAAAAAAAAAATGCCATCCCTGTCACTTTTATAACATTTAACAAAGTCATGAGACTAATCCCACTATGGTATTTTTAAGCTGTAACTGTACTTTCAAAAGGATGGCTTTATAGCCAAGTACCAGACATAATAACGTATTTAAGACTGCTTGCTTACAAGGATCTTATTGCTAGCCTCCTCTAAGGTGAGATAACATTGTTAGTGCAAAACAGTGCAGGACAATACAGCTCTTTGCAGCATCTGTTTTTGAGTTTTAGTTGCATTTTGGAAATGTAGGACACATTTTCTTTTCAGTGGGGACTTTGTTAATAAATTTTGAACTTACAAAATGAACATAGAACAAAGAGCAAAGAAAAGAGAATAATTTTCGCATGGGGGAGGAAACAAAGTGATATGAACTGCGTTTTGGCTCCTTTCACCTCATGCTGCTCCAGTATACTTAGGCTTGGTTCGTTTGTTTGTTTTCCAGAAACTGTCCTATACAAGGGAAGCAATGGGCAGGTGAGTACCTGTGTTTGTCTTGCATTTTATTCTGTCTGGACATAACAGCAGGGGTGAGCTGTGACATTTTGTAACCTTTTCTCTCTTTTTCCTGTCAGCTCCTGCACTGACTGGTCATGTGGGTAAGTAATTTTCCCTTTTTAAAGCCTTGTGATAAGTCATTTCTTCAGTTCTTGCTGCTGCTGGGGTTGATTTGTGCACTGAAGATGAAAAAATTTCACCTTTGTACAAAAAGGCATATAGAAAAATGTGGTGGAGAAATCCTGTGGCTCTTGCATTTGAACCTGTCGCTGGCTGTCCTGGTGTGCTTGGCATGCTTAAAATATCTCAGTCAATCTGAGGCTTGTACTTTTGCTTAAGTATGTCATCACCTTGTTGGCCGTTGGGCACAGATTCAGGCTATTTACCTGAAGAGGTTTAGTGGGGGAAGTCTATTTTGAGAAAGAGATGTGTCCATAGTTACCTGTGTTCATGTTCCGGTTGTCCTGTGAACCTTTCCCAAAGGCTTTAAGATCATCATTACAAAAAGAAAAAAAAGTGGGATGTTTTTGAAAATGCTTTAAAAAAAATTCTTTAGAGATGTGCTCTAAAAACAGGTACAAGGGAATTGTCTGCTTCAACTCCTCACACTTTTAACAAGGCAAAAAAAAGAGAAAACTGTCCTGAATTGTGGTTTCTTTTTACCAAAGCAAACCTGAACTTGACCTGCTATTTTCATATGTTTTTTGAACTAGAAGGAAAACCAGTTCAAACTATTATTACTACATTCCTACTCAGAACCTAATCTAAGCTGTTATTTTTAGAGCAATTCAAGCCCGAACAGCTGAGTGCTGAACTCATCTGAAAAGTTGGCAGGTTCAATTCACTGCTTTACAGGCCATGTAAAGCTATGATAAATATGAGTAATTAATTTACTGGAAAACGTAATCACTCAACAGACTTTAAAAACTCAACTTCCCAAATTAGGTATCCTCATAATGATTTCATAATTACAAATTTATATATTAAAATCACTAACATAAGATGATAAGGGTGAAAGTGATTTCTAAGAGATTGGTTTCTCCCTGTTCTGTTGAGCTGAACACTCCTCTGATATGCACACTTCCTGAAGTTTCCAGGTCATCTGGGTACTGTACATCTGTTCCAAACTTTCTCTGTTGAGAATGCAACCTTGACCAAACTTTTATCTGCTTTTCTTTTCAAAGAGAAAATAAATTTAAAAAAATATTTCCCTTGTAAGCTTTGTGGGTCGAATTCTTTCTCATTAGCATCAACCATTTTCTAGACTGGCTCTTTGATGAATGGAACCACATCTTATGAGAAAATGTGAATTAAGAGATAGTTGTCTCAGTTAGAATGTTGAAGACTCTGAAAAAATCTTTCTGAATAATTTTGAGTTTGAAAATCTACTGTGTCCCTCTATGTGATCACTCAGGAAATCTAGTACATGTAGAGACATGAGAGGAATTAAGAGTCAACGCTAATTAATCTGGAGTCCCTACATGCACTGGGCTACAAAGCCTGCCAATGCAAAAAGCCCAACATTTGACTGAAAGTTGAACCACAGTCACTGATGTTGTGTTTAAACTTTGGTTTTACCACAACTTTTTCTCTAAAAGTCATTGTTTTGTCTTATACTTCAATCTGATAGTGTTTTGTAGCATAGGGTGATGCAGAACTGAGGCAGTGAGATTGAAACAGGTAGATTTGCTCCGGATAATGGAGCATCAGGAAGAAATAGAAATATAATAAATAATAAAAATTATTGCTGCTCTGACTTGTCCTCTGGAGAACTCCAGTTCTTCTGACAAATATGCAGAAGCAGTCATTTCAGTTTGAAGGCTTAGCACTAGGCATATTTGTTAGTCTGTTTACCCACTGGTAAGAACATAGGTTATTTTGCAGTAGTTTCATTTTTGAGAGTGTAGCCCAGGCACAAGAAACTATAAGTGTGTTTTCTTTTTATGAGATTTGACCATTTATTTTTCTTCTTTGAAACAATAGTTTCTGTGAAACAATTTCTTAATTTGGGGCTTATCTGAAATGAAAGACAGACCCTTCATATCTGTTGGTAATTTTAACTACATTACCTTGCTTGATTAAAGCAAAACTCTGCTGAAAGCTATCAACAGCTGTAGAATAGAAGCTGTGATTGAAAGAATTTAACACATCTCATATAATCCTACCTAGATGTCAATACTGTGTCTCTATCTAACTGGTAAAAGATTGTGTCATGTAGCTAAATTCTAGGATAGTTTTAGTGTAGCTTACAGAAAGGTGGCTTGTACTTGTGTAATTTACTTCCCAGAATAACTCCCAATCCGGCATTACTGACAATTGCGTAACAGCAGGTTGAAAGTTTGTTCCCGTAAGACTAGTGCATGCATTCACTTAGGTTGAACACTCAGCTAGCCTGGCCTTTTAAGGAACTGAGAGATTAACCTAAGTGTCACTGAGGAGAAAACCTCAAAGAAAGAGTAATATATGGAACATAATCCAGATGTGTATGGAGCGGCCCAATGGACATTGTGGAGTTTTGCCGCAGTTGGAAGTGTGGGAGCACTGCATCAGCTAAAGACTTTTAATGATTGCTTTATTCAGTAGGCCACTGGGACTATGCATAATGAATTTTGCTTTTTTAGTATTGGAGTATGTCTCATGGCAATAGGACAGCCATTCTGTCTAATTCCTGGGGGGTCAAAAGCCAGATCTTGAGATGCAACTGAAGGCAAGGGAGTAGCACAAAACTGCTGTAGTAGCAAACTAGAGTTCTTATGTCATAGCCTTGCTTGAATACTGTATGCACAATAACATATTGAAGGAAAGATAAGGAGTATGGGGTAATTGAAAAGGATTCATATAATGCACTACTTTGTCGCTTCTTCAGATGTGGCTATTCACATCAAATGAAATCAATAATGCTTGTGTTCTTTCTGACTGGTACTTGCTGATTCTGGACTCACTGAAATTAATCACAATAAATCTTGTCCAGACCTCCTTTGTTCTGTCCATGTTCTCTAGTTTGAAATACACTGGCAAATTAAGGATCCTTATTTCATCAGCGGTGGTAGCAATGGTTGATGGTATATCAACTCAAATTTGAATGTTTTCTCTAAATGTGCTTCATGAAAGGAAAGAGTTTGTCTTTTGTGCTGTGATAATTTCAAAGTTCAGCAGTTCTCCCTGCAGTGAAGTAGAAACATACCCTAGATCCTTTGCTGTCTGTATGTGGACTTGGCAACAATATTGCTTGTCTCAGAAATTTTTGAGCATCTTCACAGCTTTACCCCATGTGAAGAGTTCCACACTGATCCTCTTCAGTTGCGTATTTTCTTTTGTGCTCCCTACTGTCAGATAGCAAACATTAAATGTTTGTCCTGCTTTAATTAAAAACAAAAGAGGTCAAAATTCAAGAACTTCCTAAATAAAAATGAAGACAAATGCAAGTACAATTTAAAAGGAAAAGAACCTGAATACAAGACTCAGTGTTGCATTCTGTACTTGGATAAAAATACTTCTGAAATGGCATACCTGATTTAATCAAGGACCTGTGATTAAAATATGTAACAAAGAGAAAATCAGACTATAAAATTATTTTCCCTTTTTTGTGCAATACGGGCATTGAAATAATAATGTTTAAGAAAAATAAATGATTGCCGTAACAAATTAGACTTCAGGGAATTCAAATTGGTTATGAAACTGATGAATGTCCAGGACGGGTAGTACAGATCTGAAGATGGTACCTACTTCACACACGGTTGAGTTTGTGTTAAACCTTGAGGAATAATGTAGAGAAAAATGCAAATAATACCTTTATAAAACTGCAGTGTTAGTGGGTGAAATGGTATCACCAGTGCCCCATTTGACAGGTCCAGAGCGGCATTTCTCCTTATTAACAAGTCATGGCTGCACAAAAGAACTTCTTTAGGCTCTACAGTTGCCTATGAGTCAATGGGGCTCTCTGTGGACTGGAACATATTGAAACTTTTCCTGACATGACTGATGTCACACAGAAGTACTTGCTATGGGGTTTGAAAAAGGGGAATATAGACTGTATTTGTGAGCTGTGTTTGCTGTATTTAAACATATAGGCTGTCCATAAGCACTGTTTTGCTTCAGATCAACTTCTGAGGCCCTTATGGGTCTTGTCTTACACCTGCCTGGATCCTGGTGTCTAACAGAGCTGCATGATCTGAAACTGGTTGTTTCTGCCAAGGAAACACAGTGCAGTGTTGTTTGTTCTGCTGCGTAGACATCTGCTCGTGCATATTCCTTCCTGCCTCTCCATACATATGTATATGTTTTTATATTTTGCTTACTGCTCAGCCAAGGTGGTCCAGGGCATCACTCATGCAGGTAGGACAATAGAAATTACATTTAATGTGTATGTGTCTCAAATTCACAATAAGCTCTTGATGGAATATAGTGCCTCCACTTGGAGTGGATTGCTTGTGTAGCTATAGTTAGAAAGCAAACCACACTGGTAAAGCAATGAAAAAACAATGTTGTGCATAAAGTGAGGTCAGTTATAGCTCAGTTTCTTAAAACAATTTTTTTATTCTCTTGAAAAAAGTGATAGCTGTTAATTTGACCAAATTCGATACTTGACTGGTCTTGCACGGTTAATTGAGTGAGGTTTTACTAGGTGCTCTTTAAGCTCTTGGCTTTTAATTTTCAGCCAGCTGTGAGCCAGAATTTTGTCAGAAATTGTTACATCTTGGGGCAAATTCAAAAGCCCCTCAGTATCAGTAAGAATATATTATCTTGCTTTGACAAGCCTGTAACTGCTTAAGATGATGGGTTTGCTATGTGGCCTTATTCTCACCTTTATTTTCAGCACTCTCGTGGTTGCTCCATGGCTTGTCTGTGGTTGCACTGCATGCTTAGGCAGTGCCTAAATTAGCACAGAGCCACTGTGTAAAGCCATTAAGATGATGAGGTGACTGGAGCATCTCCCGTATGAGGAAAGGCTGAGAGAGCTGGGTCTGTTTAGCCTGGAGAGGAGGAGTCTGAGGGGGGTCTCATTAATTCTTGTAAACATCTAAAGGGTGGGTGTCAGGAAAATGGGACCAGGTTCTTCTCAGTTGTGCCCAATAACAGGACAAGGGGCAATGGTCACAAACTGGAACACAGGAGGTTCAGCCTAAACATAAGGTAAAATGTCTTTACTGTGAGGGTGACAGAGCACTGGAACAGGCTGCCCAGAGAGGTTGTTGAGTCTCCTCCTCTGGAGACATTCAAAACCCGCCCGTATGTGTTCCTGTGTGATCTTCTCTAGGTGATCCTGCTCTAGCAGGGAGGTTGGACTGGGTGATCTTCAGAGGGCCCTTCCAACCCCTACCATTCTGTGATTCTGTGAAGTTGACTTTACTAACTGAAGCACCCTGATGGATGAAGAGCTGCAGCTCTTTTGAGTCAGTGCTCTAGGACCTTTGAAAAATAGGAGAATTTTAATTTGAATGTCTATAACTAGTAGTCCAATCCAGAAGGTAGTACTCTACTCTAGAAAACTAATTTCAGGCTTTTCTATTTGCACACTGCTATTTTTTTGAAAGTGTGACTTATAGCATACCATAGAATTCTCCTTGGTTTTTTCTTGCCTGCTTTTCTTGCCTGAGGATTTTTCCTTTAAAAACTCAAGCAACTTAGCTAAAGTTGATCTTGCAGTACTGGGTGCCCAGGCACTGGCAGAGGGGCTTCAGGGTGGCCTCTGTGAGGAGTGTCTAGGGCTGCCCCTTGCTGGGCACAGCTGGTTCAAGACAGCTCCAGTGGACCCACCACAGGGCACTGCTGAGCTCAGCAGCAGAGCCAGAGGCACCTAAGGGAAAACATGCTTAGGAAAGGCAAAAACACCGCACAGGGAGAGGAGAAGGGAACAAAACACATAAGCAATGACGGCATAGGGAAACACCAAGGTGAAGGAGGAGGAGGTGCTCCATGGCGGAGCAGGTATTCCCTGCAGACTGTGGAGAACTCATTCGGGAGCAGGGAAACATTTCCTGAAGGAACTGCTGCCCCTGCAGAGCAGCTAGAGGAGTCAGGAGTGAAGTTGAGCCTGGGAAAGGGTGGAGGTAAGGTGATGGTGTAGTGTTTGTTTCTCACTACCCAAATCTATTTATATGCAATAAATTAATGCAGTTTTTCCCAGAGTGAGTCTGGTTTGCCCATGGAGGTACATGGTAAGCAATCTTCCTGTCTTTATCTCAGCCCATGAAATTTTTTATCTCTTTTTCTCCCATGTCTTGTTGAGGAGTGAGAGAGAGCCAGGTGCACATTTGGCCCTTAGCCAAGACTGACCCACCACAAAGTTGGGTCCACAATTTAGTGGGTCAGAAAGCCTTTTAGGTCCTTCCGAGATGCCCCAGGTTACAGTACACATCTGCAGAAGGCTGGCAGGTATGATGTGGATTCCGTAGGCAATCAGTGCTTTCTGGGGCAGCAGCTGGAGGTCAGGAGTGTCTGCAGCCCTCTCCAGGTATACTGGGCACTAACCCATGGACAGCTGGATTGAGTCCTGTGAATGTCAAGTTGAGCTCTGAGCATACCACCAAGTCATGATTCTCACTGCCTCCTTCTAAAGAAAAAGAGGTTGATACAAGGCTCAGCTAATGTTTGTACCTGTGTTTGAGCACTTCAGCTGGACAGAATATTACAAATCCTGTAGCAGAGTTGTTTCACTGCACACCACTTTGCTTTTGTGGAGTTTTTATTCTGACTTTAGATGCACTAAGCAGTTTGTAATAGGTAAAATCCCAGATTGTTTCACCTCTCCTGAAAAATAGAATAATATTTGCTTCTGAACATACTGATGCTGTACTTTGGTGACACTTTGGTACAGATGTAATCTAATGCCTATTGAAACTGATAAGAGTAATGCATCCTTGGAGTTAGGTGAATTTAATTGGAAAATATTTCATGTGACCAAATAATGATTAAGCAATAGTTTTTATTTCAGTTCTAAGATAACAAACAAGTAAGGAAACTAAATCTCTCTAAATTAAAACAAGCATTCTTAAGAAAATCTAAATCCTTTTAATGTGGGTTTTTGTTGTTTTGTTTGGTTGGGTTTTTTTAGCAGAAAGATGCTGATTTTTTTTGAATGACTTAATTGTGACTCTATACGTGTGATGGCAATGGCAGAGAGAATAAGAAAGAGTATCTTGTTTAAATTATACTTGCTAGTAAAATTTGGCTTTCCAGTCTTGGAAGCCATTCCAAGACTTGCTGACCTTGTCAAAGAATTGCTAGAGAGTTACCTTGCGCTGTGCTGGCTGAAAACAGGCACCAGTGTCCACGAGATGGAAGCAGACACAAATAACTGTATGTCTCAAAGCTTGCATAGAGCTCATTGACTTTAGTTATTCAAGAAAATACATGAAGGCTCTATTTACACTCTTGAAGTAGCATTTTCTGCTTTGTTCACATGCAGATTATTTTATTTTTCTCATTAATATTTTATAATTATGTTTTGTAGATCTTGCTCTGTCAGTTTAACATTCCCTGAACTTACTGTATTTTGATATAGTTAATCATTATATGCAGGACTAGCCTGTGCCTCTTGGCAAAGGACATGTGAAAAGATTCTTGACTTAAATAGAAAATTAATCAGATTTGTCTGCAGGTCTGTTTATTGGCAAGTGTTACATGTCTGTGAGAGGTGGGGAGAGAAACAGTTTGAGATGTTAACTCAGTGAAACTCTCCTATGTTTAATCTTACACTTGTGCTCAGGTATCTTAATTATGTAGCTTTGGATCTGGTTGTCTAGCTAGTGTTGGGAGCCTTTGTGTTTTGGAGTGATGCAGAGACTGATCATATGTCCTGAAAGAGGCAAAATATCCATCAACTTTGGAGTTTTCCTGAGGACAGACTGCAAGACCAGCAATCTAGTATCTGAATCAAAAATCAAACCTGGCAAGGCTAGGAACCATGGCTCACATAGTATGCATGTATTACAGTAAAGTCTTTTTCCTGCAATGCTTATTTTATGGCACAACTATGACCATCAATAAAAAAGGAGTTCCATGAAAAGTGACAGAAATATCCCAATGCAATGAAACTCAATGATTTTCTGAAGTCTAAAGTTCTGTTTCTCCCCAGCAGACAAATTTCCAGTCTTACAGATTATGATGTATGTTTTAAAAATATAACAAATCTGATTTTTTTTTTTTTCAGTCAGGAAAGACTTGCTTCTGTCAGAGCATGTCTTCCACTTGACAGTTGCTCAGGGCTTACAGAATTGGCCCAAGGAGCTTGGGTTTACTGTAAGAGCCACTTTGAAGATGTGATTTTTTTCTTCAGGCTGACAGTCTTAATCTGATTTTTATCTGAAGTGTTTTTCTTTTACACATTTGGCCTAGAGTTGTTTAGTGTGTGTGTACGCAATAATTGGATTTGGAAACTGGTGCTTTTTGAAGATTTCCAAATAAACAGGGTAGAATTAATGATGAAAAGAACCCAACTTCTTACAGTGATTTCAGGACAGTTATGATGTTTTAATGCACTAGAGAGTATTTTTAAAACTTAGTGTTTTATAGCTTATTACATGTTATCTTTGTGTTTTATCTCTAGTCTTTGCATTTGCTTCATTTACAGAACAGCAAGAAGGCAAAATGACCTTTTAGGTGGGACTCCAAGTCAGTTGTATTTTAAGTAGGTTAGCAGCCTGGAGAGGCACATGATGTGTTGTGTGATGCAAGTGGCCTGATATCTAAGTTGCAAAAGATAACTGAAATATTGTAAAGTCTAATTTTTATGAAGTTATCAGGAAAGTAGTACCATGATAAATTTCTTCTGCAAACATGCTTTTTGGTATGGCATCAGAATCACACATAAATCAAAACCTAATAAATCTGTATTACCATGTCCAACTTAAATGTCTAATTTTGTTTTTATTCAGCAGTAGTGGGACTCCAACTCCATCTTTGGATGCTGATGTTACCACATTAAGAGGTCAGTTTTCATCTGGCTACTCTCAAGACTGATTCTGAATCACTGGAAAATTGAGAAATTCAATGGTGTTTGGATTTGAGAGAGATGTGAATTATTCCATTTCCCAGTAATGCTGTTTATGATCTGAAGATCATGTTATATGCCGATGTTATTTTGTTATTATATAAGTCATGAAAATCCTATGTAAGAAATTAGCTCTGTGGACTGTTTACTGCACTTAACTTCATGTTGCTAAAAATACATCTGTTTGGACAGAATATTAGCATTTTATTCTGATTAGTGTATTTGATACTTTTCCTCAGGCTCTTCAGGTGTTTTCTGTGTTGCATCTGTAATGATGATGGGACTAGGAATCAAATTTTACTGTTGGTTTATACTTGCTGAACTGCTTTTGTGTGTATCTACATGTACATGGGTATTTAAAAAAAACCCAGGCAAAATTATACTGCTCTCTTTCAAACTCAGATGCAGCTGCCAATGTTCCTCCCCATCATGAGATCTCCATTGAGAGTCCTGCAGGTAGTACTGTCTATGAGATCGAAGATGCAGACACTACCGTGAGTGGTTTTTTTTAAATTGGTTCAGCATGCTGTTGCCTTTCCTAAATAATATTGGCTTTGGTCATTTGCATTTCCTATTACTTAAAGGTGTTGTTAGCATAGTGTGTTAACACAAATTAAGATTTCATAAAAACAGGGCATGAAAATGATTTAAAAATAATTTGCTGGGTAGGTATTTTTTGATTTGCAGTGGCTTTGCAATGCCACTTCACCCACAGTGAGAGAGAACGGATCAGTAGAGCTGTCAGGTGAGGATTTTGCTATTTTTGCTACATAGGACTAGATAGGGAATGCCTAGTGCTTTTGAACGCTCCAAGAAGAATGGGGAGCATTAATATTCCTATGGAAACAAAATACACCTTAAATTGCTGTAGTAGTGTTTCAAGGATCCATGTGGTACAACTGTGTAGGACATCAGAGAGGTGGCCTGAATAGCCTTGAAGATCCCTGCTGATTCTCTACTCCTCTGTTTTTATCCGCTGGCATAGGTGAACTTGTATTTGTCACTTTACAGTCAACCTTATCTTGATCTCTAAATAAAACTCCCACCACAGAGAAGCCTGTATCAAGTACTTAAAATGTTTCTGTAAAAGTGAGTTGGGTTTCAGAAATGCTGACCATCACATAGGTCCCAGGGAGGTATTTGCTTCCAGGAAACAGCTCTTCTGGATAAAAATTTAAGCCCAAACTCTGGATTCCAACTGCAGTATTCGTGGACCTGCAAGTCTGAAGAAAATCTTGCAAACCAGTGGTATGAATCAGCTGCCTTTTGTTTTCTTCTAAATGTGAAACTCTTACTGGACTCACTGAAAAACTTGCAAAGTTGCACATACTGCATACAAGTAAAACCAGATGTATGGTACAACATTTAACTGTGCACTGTTCTGAAACCTAGTATGGCAATGAAATTAAGCTGGGCCAAACTGTGCTTCCTTCTAGAGCTTTCAAGGCTAACCGTGGAGTTTTGTTATTGTGCTTCCAAGAATGAATATTCAATATGAAGCAGGCAGACAGCTTTTGACTCAAGTCCAGAACTTTATATTAAGTATCAAAACCACTTGTGGTCTGGTCCCATGTACACCATTATTCTTTTTTTTTGAAGCAGAACTGCCTGAAGCATTTCTGCCTGAGCAGGGAATGCAACCACTCAGTAAATCAGAAAGAAACCAGAATTAGACTGCTGCTACAGTGTTTTCATTCTATATGGTTACATCACACTTCATCATTGCTCTGTGCAGCCAAAATACATTGCCGATTACAAGACCAAGAGTGAGCAAAACTCATCTTCTGCACTCATATGTTCACTGTAATTTTGTTTTTGGAGGACTGAGAAATGATTGAAACTACATGGAGTTGCAAACAGCTGTATAGTAGCAGCACATATATGCCTACTAAGTATGTGTCTCTCAAATGCTAACAAGCTTCAAGTAGCATACCAGTCATTATGGTCCTTAACAAAATTATCTAGTCAAAAAGGGATGGGGAAAGGCAGGGAATTTAACTAAAAATTTTTAGGGGGTCCCTAAACAATGTATAAGTATCTCACTGGTAGGCAGGTAAGCTTTCTGGAGAAAAGTTTTTCCATTTTCTGCACCATACATAACACAGGCTGCAGTTTTGTTGGAAAGGTCTGTTTTGCTGGCTTTCTTTTTTCCTTTTAATGGGGAAAAAGCAACAAGAGCATGTAAATAGTCAAAGACATTTGGCTATTTGAATAAAGTTAACTTAAGCTAACCGTCCCTCCCCCACAAATCTAGTTTTTGTTTTTGTTTTTGTTTTGGACCAAAACCATGAAAGAAAATCTGTTTTTTTCTCATGACTTTCAATATACCACAAAGAATACTGTGTTGGTTATAAAATATCAGGGAACTAAGCAGAAAACATTCTTCTTGTGTTGCTCAGTCATTCAAATTATATTAAAATTTGAAATTCACTCCTGTCTGTGGCAGCTGTGATAGCTACATGCTTCCCTGTGCATTGCACAGCCACTGCTGCGGGACTTCTTGGGCAACTGCAGACCCCTACCAGTTGGAGCTCTCCAGTTTAGCTTGGCAGAGGTCCCTGCAGATCTCTCAATGCCCATCGTATATCTGGGGTGATCCTTCAGTTACTGACGCTGACCAGCGTAGGATGTTGTTCTGAATTTAAAACTTGGCAAAGGTAACTTGTCTTCCAAGTGGAATAGTAAGTAGGAGCCTTGTGAGAAGTGAGTAAATCTTGAGTAAATCAGCCCATTGCTGACTGTCCTCGAGTGAGCTGTTGGAATATCCATAGTTACACTTTAAATTCGCTCATGAGCATCCCACACAACTGGATTTCTGTCTGTAGCTGAGGTCAACTAGACGGCCTTGCACTAGGGTAAAGATGTGCAAGTGAAAAAGAATTATCTGTAATACAAGAATTCTCAAAAAATGTTCTTGCTTAGTAGATTGCCTCATTAGTTGCTGCCTCTGTCTCTGAGGCTTCATGAGCACCCCATTATAGCGCAAGACAAGCAGGTCTGCTGATGGCTCAAGTGATCATGCTGTGTTTTGGACTGCAGTAGGTCACATACCATTAAGTAAATCCGTGACCACCACTGTGGCCCACCAATAGTGCCCTGAAGTGTTCCTGTCCATACAGTATTTATGGAGAGGGCTCAGATTTTCTGCCCATCACAAGTCAGAGAAACCTCCAGGTTTGCAGCAGCTGGAGAAGTTCCTGGCCCATATAAACAGATGTTTGGATCCAAGCTTAGGAATGTAGTGTGCTGTTGACAGATGGCAGACCACATGTTGACATATCTAGGGGTGCTTTTCACATAGAGTAAGTCCAGGATAAGTAGGAATCTGGTCTGTGGTGAGTAATGAGGATTTAGTTCTTGGGAAAAAACCAAAGGGCAAATGGAAAAAAACAACAACATTCAATCACCTTTTGCTTTCTCCCTTCTTCCTTGCCTTCCAGATCAATAATGAGATAAAGAAGCAGGATGAGAAGCTTGTGAGACCTGTAACTGAGCAGATGATTGAGTTCAGCATTTTGATTGTTGGTGAGAAGTACAGTGAGGAGCTGAGCGACCCAACTGCTGTGAAGCGTCAACTGCTCTCTCAACAATTCATTTCTCAGGTGATTACCTTCTCTGAGTTCTTTTTTCTTTCTGCTGGCTCTGCAAGGCAATAGTAGCAGATAGCACCTGTGTTAGGACTGCTGCCTTCTCACAGGCTCTGTAGAACCAGCATAGGTCTTCTGTTGCCTGAGGTAGGCTGGGAAATACTCACCCACTATAAGATTACACCATTCTGCCTAACATGCTGCCTTTTTAAGGTAGCAGTGGCATACACTGTGTGTAGTACACCAGCTGCCAAAGCACAATTAGTCCAGTTTTCTTTTTGTGTTTCTCATGAAATAGCCTGCTATCATTTTTTCCTGGCAAAAGAGGTGAAGGAGGATCAGAAAATTATGCTGAAGCCCTGAATGGGCACATACTCTAAATGGGACCTTTCTGATGGACTGCTCGCTCTCTTTTACTCTCTCCTTTTTCTGTTTTCACTAATTTACTTTGCTTCATGTTAGCAAAAGATACTACTCCAAATAACATTATTAATAAATAAGAAATATTTTCACTTTTTTTAGTAGTTTTAAAGACCTGTTTCTACCAGGCTACCTTTGGCCTTACCATCCTTTCAGAATTTTATTGGTACCTCTCCCTGTCAGTGTTACTGCAGAAAAGCTATTAAACTCACAAAGAAGTGAAAAGATTCTTGTTTGACTCTTGATGCAACTTCAAGTTCCTAAAATTTTAGGACTTGAAAATCTTACATTTTAAAGGTACATTTAACATCTCTGTAGTAACCAATCTGCCTAGAATTTATTCCAGCACTTTCTAGTCTCATTGTTCAGTTTGAATTCTTCTGTAATGTAGCTGGTTTGAAACTAGGGAGTGAAAATGATAATTCAAGGATCTTAGCATACCAGCCTGCCTGCACTTTCAAGTGGTGGGATGTGAATCAACTGCAGTTCAGAGCCACCAACCTGTGCTGTGGCAGTGCTGCAAAGCAGCTGGAGTTACAGCACAGCGTTAACGTGGAGCGTAGGCAGAAGGCATACATGTCCACCAGCATCTGCCTATGTGAGTGTGCTCTGGGTCTTCTACAGAAGCTGACCACTTAAATGGGGTAGAGGATATCTTAACGATTACATGGTGTACAGATTTTGGAGTGCAGAAGAAACTCTGGCATCTGTCTAGAGAATCTGTCTATACAGAGTATAGGTGATAGGTAGGGAAGTCAAAAGAAGTCACAAAACCCAGAACTTGTTCATGATTTCTGCTCAGGAGCAACATTTCTTTGAATGAATGGTTGTGCACTGTAGTGGGATACTCTCTGACATCTAGGCTGCCAAGACAACTCTTGCTCCTTATTTATGCCCAGAATCAGCATTGCATGGGAGCACATATTAAAACCCTACAGCCTCAGAAAAGTTCTTAAACACATGCTTAAATCCCATTGGAGTCAGTGGGAATGAACCATGGTTTAGAATGTTAGTCACCAACTTCAAATTAAAAATACATATGTGCATATACATATAAATATATGCGTATATAAATATATACACATGTAAGCATGATTTATTGGACCTGGATTTCAGGTTAATTTAATTTTCAACTAGATTTCAGGCTAATTTAATTTTAATTAAAATTTAAAGTTTTAATTTGTATGCCACAAAGTTATTGGCCCACCAATGTACAAATGTCTATTTAAAATATGATCATACTGCTGTCTTCTAACTTTTCTCTCCATATTGTTTCCAGTTCTTTTTTTCTACTTTCTTAGGGCAGAGAGTTTCTTTCCTTTCTCTTGGGAGAGGCATCTAGGGTGCCATATAGCAGTGCTTCATGAGGCTTATCTTTTCTCTAGCTTTGCTTCCTTATTAGTCCCATTTAGTCGGAGTTTTCTGTTGAATCCGTTTTACTGGGGCTAACCCTGTGCCAGATCCTGGACCAGATGGGAAAGAGATGTACTTTTCACTGCAGCCAAAAAGCATCGCCACAACTGTCACAAGTTACTAGTGTAGGCTAGACATCTTAATTTTCCTAGTTGTGTGGCCAAACAGCAATGCCATAATGTGTATGTGTGGAAGAAATGTCAGATGGGATGGAGTCCACCTGGCACATGGATGTACCATTCCTTTGATCCCTTGCCTGATTTTCTCTGTGCTTGGACAAAGAAGCTCTTGAAAAAAGAAAGTCTGCAGCACTTAGATTGTTTAAGTCTCACCAGAGAAGACAGTTTAAAAATAGGGACACTGGGGAAGGGAAGAAGAATTTGAGGAGTAAAAAATAATCCTCAATTGGCAAGGATATTTGTGAGGAAAAAAAGCAAACCCAAAGGAGCATGAACCTGCAATATTCTATTTCTTGGTTTTGTCTCGTGTAATACAGTTGACTATTGAATTAGGCTGGGATTTGCTACCATTTTGCTGCCCCTAGTTTTGGAGTTTTCTTTGAATGACACTGCCAATCATTCCTGAACCCCTTGTATGTTTAGGGCAGTGGAGATTAGCCGTGTTTTGCAGTATGTAATGTATTAGTGTCTCTTTGGACTCTAAGAGGTCCCTGTTCCTATGGAGGCTGCTGCCTCTCCTGTTTAAATTGCATTTTCCTGAATCCTTTTTAATCCAAAAATGTTGAGGAGGTAATGGAAACCTTTTGGGCAAAGAAGGGTTTGTGGTGCATAAATAAGACAAAGAATGCAGTCTGCTATGGGGAGTGCAGCTCTCTGCAGAGTCTGTTTGAATTTCCCCCTCTTTGAATGTTTCTATACAGTTCTTGAGGAATAACAGATGTTGTTCTTCATACCTTTTCTTTCCCTTTTCTAATAATGAAATAATGTCACCAAAACTCTTCTTCCATAAAGAGAGAGAATATTCAACTATTTTTCTCCTATTGATATAACAACACAGATACATTTTTAGAAATTGTTGAAAATACTTCCTGATTTTTCACTAAATAAGTAGGATGGAGTAAATATGTGTTAATTTTTTTGTTTTCCCCTCAAAATAGATTGAAAGTGTATTTGAAGGCCTACCTGGATACAAAAGCATCCATGTCCTGGATTACAGGTAAAAAGATGCTGATATATATGTTTGTATTGAAACTGATCACATATGATGGTGCAATGTGCTAGCACCACTCTTGGAAGAATGTTAGGCATGTGTGTGGGAATTCCTAGGATGTATTTACCAAAGGACAAGTGCTTTCATATTTGGTACCTCTATATATAGAAGTTGAAATAGAAATGCTGAACTATATGTAAATATAATAATCGTTTCTTTGCTCCTGTTATCCCCCAGAGAATGTCACATGATATGCTTGCCTTGATTTCAAGATAAGGCATTCTTATTCAAGATTCTGTCATAAAATTATGAGAGATATTTTCTAATTTAAAATTAGTATCTGCTATTTCTTCAGTACTGTTAACATGTCCTAGTACTAAGCAAGGAAGAACAAAATAACCTTTTTAAAAAAATGTTGTGTTTTCAAATTTTTTTCCAACATTAATGTTGGGATTACTCTAAAGGTTGGTGTTTGAGATACGTAAAGGCCTTTCTCCCTTTCATCAAAGCAAAAGTGGGTGAATAGTGTGATAAATGATATGCAATGTTTTAACTCTTTTTTTTCTTAGAAATATTTTTCCTAAAGACTAGTTTCATCAAATCAGTTTGTGCTTTGGAATGACGTTTTAAGTAAATTTGGGGAAAAAAGGTATCCTGTGTATTATGCATCAAACATCTGATGACTGAGATTTAGGGTGTCTGGATCACAAATTACGATTTTTCTTGAACAGACTGGATGCAACTTTCAGATTTGAGTTAGACTGTTCATTAGTTAATCTAAATTGTGTTTCCTTTGAGAATTTGTAAGCTGTGTTTGTGTTTTTTAAAATTTATTGGCTGGAATATTCTAGGTAGAATACATGTAGGTAAAAAAGCAGCTACAGTGAGAAAGGTTTTATTGTTGAAAGCCTAGGCTGCCCTCAGTTTCCAGCCTTGGAGGCAGCAAAATCTTCCATCTTGGTATTTGCAGTCTAATACATTTGCAGGCTCTTGGTTCATTTGAGAAGACAAGCAAAGGTTGGTATTTCTGGCAGAATACCAGAGCTCTGTGCTCTGCTGTGCATGACCAAAAACATGTTTGTAAACTAAGCCTCTAGGTAGAATTAGGGAGCCTTGACTCTCTTAGTAATGACAGCAATTTACCTGCATTATTTGCAGTAAGTTTAGATGGCTTAGCTCTGCCAATTCCTTGTGATCAATAGGAAAGATCTCAGTTCAATAATAGCAGAAGTTTGTTATGTAGCAGAATAACTATGCAACTTATAACCATTTACCTGTATGCTTTTTCAAATTTGTGTGCCCTGTAGAACATCTAAGCAAATTTGTTAAAGATAGAAGACTTATAGGAAATTATAACATTGATTTAACAGGTTTTGCTGTTGTGTTTTATTTTGTTTCTATATTCAGCTCTCCCGAGGATGACAGGTAAATACAACTTTTTAATATTATTTGTCAAAATAGATGGAAAAACACATTTAGCTGGAGAACACTGCTTTGAGGATTTGTAGCTTTGGCTCCAGAGCGAGATAGTTATCCAGTATAAAAATTATATGAGGGGGTTCTACCAGAAACTGCAAGTAACTGCTCTGTTTTGAATATAGATAGACCTAATTTGCTTATTTAATCCCTAATAATAGAAAAAGTACTGGGGGGAAAGTCTTCCTAAACACAAGTCAGCTACTGGACTAACTTGTGTACAGGAGTCTCTTATGTGAAGAAAACAAAATTGCTTAATGATGACTCAGGGTCCTTATACTTTGCAGCAAAGTCTTGGATAGATATGGGATTATGATTATGATTATTATTTTAGAAATTAAAGTAGGCAGGAAAACCATAGGTTTTCAGCAAAGGCAGTTGGCTTAGGTACTTCAAGGCCAAAGTTTTACAAACATTCCTTAGTAGAAGATGAGATCAGTCTGGACTTGTTTTTTATTAGACATATGTAGGTTAAGCATCCAAAATTTTCCTCCTTTGATATTACTTTAAGAATTTCACATGACAGAAAATGAACTGCCGCCTTTAGCTAACTAGATGCATTATTTTCTTTTGTGTATTTCTCAGCAAAGGTGTAACCAGTTTCCACAATTTTACAGAGAATGAACATTTTAATTTTAGAAGAAAGGTTAGAAACCACAAATCTCTTCACAAAGAATAGTGAAAGAAAGCCATCTTCTACTCTTCTGCCCTTCTGCAGGCTAACATGCAGGGAACTATTTATAAAGGTTATGTTCCAAGTACCAGATGTTTTAGCCCTTTTCAGACAGATGATGGCATCATAGTTATTAGTTAGGAATTATTAACTGCAACTGACAGCACAGTTGTATTAAGTCTAAATGTTACTTCTGAGTAGCACACTGTATTCCTTCTTTGCTGTGCCTTTCCACTACTTCTGTCTTTTTTTATTTCCTCTGCTGACAGTCAGTGCCCATGGTGAGCCTATGGTGGGCTCATTTCACTGATAGAGCCAGCAGCAAAACTCCAGCAGGCTCCTGGCTTTAGTCAGTGTGTTTGCTGACTGTGTCTCTGTTCTATCTGGCGCTGGGGCTTTAAAGACTTCTCTGAACAGAGCCATTACTTTAGCAATCCAATCCAGCTCTGTGGAATGAGGAAAACCTGCCTTTGGAGCACATTTTTCTAGCACTTCATAGATTACCTCATTTTCCTCCTGTGCCCTGAGTACAGCCAAAATATTTTATATTTTCTAAAGCTCCCTTGTGCTTATGCCCAGTGCATGATAAATTCTGATGGCTACCTACACTGTCATGTGGGACAGGATATCAAGATGTATTCAGGAAAAGGAAATCAAGAAAATGGAGGAGACTTGATATGGAAAAAGCTAAGCTGTATGCAGATACAAAACTTTTTGAAAGAAAGAATGATCAAATAAGTCTAGAAAAATGTTCCAAATTATCAGCTGTGTTAAATACCATTTTATTGCTATTAATAATGTCTTTAATTCAAGCAGGCTGACACTGCACAGTGACAGTGATAAGAGCTCCCGCTTGCTACTGTATACATATTGCTACTATATGCAGCCTGTTTTTCCAGGCTGTTTTCATCCTTCAGAGCCATTCCTGTTATTGGCATGATCTTAAAATCATCACTCACACCACTGCATGCTGGTGGGCCCATTAATAATGCTGGCAGAAAACCAACATTTTGGTCTGCTTGTGGTCTGTCTACCATTCACTAGCAGAAATACAGGGCTAGGGCCAGGCCAGATGTCAGGTTCTGGTAGACTTTTCCTTGAGAATTTTGCAGTGGTGGAAAGCACAGGCAGGCAGACACAAGTATGAAAAGAACTAATTGTTTTTATTTAGAAACTGTTAAAACAATTTGTTTTTATATTAAAAAAGGACATTAACACAGGTTCTTGGGAAAAAAAATACAGTGTTTGCTATATGTTGGAAAACCTTGAAACTCTCATCTGTATTCTCTCTTTATACAACTGAAGTGGAGTGGAAGTTCACTATGCTGTTACATTTGATGGAAAAGCTATCAGCAATGCCACCTGGGACCTGATTAACCTTCATTTCAACAAGGTGGAGGACAACGCCTTTATGGGCATAGAGGATAATCCAACAGTTGTGTACACCTTCAGTGATTTCCGAGATTATATTGCTGAAATCCTCCAGAAGAATGCCTTGCTTGGAAACACTTCCTTGTCTTTAGACCCTAACTCTCTCCAGCTTACTAATGGTGGGTATTAATTATGATGCACTGGTGAGCCACACATCTGAAATTTTATAAAATAAATCTCAGAGATGACTGAATTATTCAGCTGCCCTTTGAATAATTAAAAAGAAACAACAAACCCAACTGTATTGTAGCTTGTTTTGCTCTGACCTTAATGAGGTCAAGTTATTAGCAGTAGCATCCCTGTCTTAATCCATTAGAGTAGCCTCTTTTTTTCTTTGATGCTGAGGTTTGTGACATGCAGTTTTGCTAATGGAAAGGGAAATGTGGTTCACATGGTGCATGTTGCACCAAGATGACCTTCAGCTTAGTAGCTCTGTGTCTCTGCCTTTCCAGAAAGGAAATACTTGGTTTATCGTTGAATATTAAACGATCCTGCTAAAGGTAGTGGAGGAGTGCTGTCCACCCCTCTGTTCTCATCTTTCCTCTCAGTGATCTGGGGGCATTTCCAGAAACAAAATGTCTGGCAAACTTTTGGAAAAGATTTTACTCACAAATCTGAGATAAGGGAGGGTTTTTCAGCCAGTCTTCCAAAAAACTGCTAATGCATCCTTTATATTCCAAGTATTTGTATTTCCGCAGTGAAAGAAATAGTACACTCGGCCCCAGAAGACCCATCCTGGATTACTGAGCATTCATTTGTGCTGGAGCACCCGGCATTCAATGTAAGTATGGTTTTGAGCAGTGGTCTTTGGACACATTTGAACAACTTAATTCAGCAAGGCAGAATTGCAGCCAGCACCCAGAGTTTCTCTATCCCATTATTCATGTAGAATAGGCAGTAAAGAAGGCACAGCATACATTGGAGTAAAATGTCTGGTGAAACCTCTCATCTGATAATTTGATATCTGTTGCACAAGAGTTTTCTTTGATCTTCTCCTATTACATGGCAATACTGTGTTCCTGGATGTCCAGCCAGGTCCTGCATCTTAGGCTTCATCTGATTTTTCATAATATTTAAACTGTGAGCTTCTCTAAGGACATGATTCTTCCTGCAATACTAACTTTCCTTGAAAAGTGAGAAATAGATGCAAGCAGTAAAGCTGACTGCTAGAAGATAGAAAAGAATAAGTTTCATATGTGTCTTCTGTTACTGTATTGCTTTCACTGAAAGTTCTCAGTTCAGTTTTAAAATGATGTCCATCCCCTTAATGCCAGCAAAGGAAACATAGCTAGTGGTTTCTTTGTCTTCCTATTGAAATCATAATTATCTCATCTGCTTACCTCTGGAACAACGCAGGACATAGGCTGAAGTTCCCCATTAGGCAGGAGACTTGGTATCCCTGACTTTGTCTTAAAGCAATTAAGCAATGGAGCTTTAAGCAGAGACACCAAGTTAGGTGGCAGCGATGCTGAGATAAAATTAGCTCTGCCAACAGCTAGAATTTCTGATTGGTGGAGCATTGTCTGGGCTTAAGGATTTATCCAGTAGGTTTCTGCTCTGCACTCTGTTGCATTACACAGATGTGCCTTCCAAGAAGAAATGAGCTCATTTCATGTCACAAAATCCAGATCCACCTATGTTTGATGGCAGGTTTTCACTCAGGTCATTATGAGATAATGTTGTGAACACAAACACATTTAATTTCAGGCCAATTTCTGAAATCTTTATGAAAGCAAAATTCTCAGTGACTTCACAGAACTCAAATATTCTTGTTAGAATAGTCACAGGTATAATATCCTTAGTTTCATGCCAGTTTTCCTTGAGTTTTAAAAACTAATCATTGATGTCCAAAATGCAAATTCATACGGATTTGTCATAACTGGCTTAAACATGGTGTGGATAAACATGAATTTAAGTTAACTTTTAGAAAAGATTTTTTTTCCTCTTCACTAGAGCTATCTAACTAGATTAAAATATTGCAGATGTTTATTTTAGTAAGACAAAGAATTCTGCCATCTTTACATTTTATCTGTGGGTACTCTGACAGATGTCCAGGCAAGAAGATTTTAGAGTAGAGGTAGCTTTGCAATAATAAGTTTTAAACCAGTTTCAGGGTATGTGCATGAAAATTTTCCAGAAGTTACATTTTTCTAATCATGGACTATGAATAATAATCCTATTTATATCTTCAGTCAATAACTCTAGTTATGTAAAAGATATTGAGTATATCCAAAAAACCAGCTGTGTACAATCTGTAATACACAGATAATTTGGGAATTAATTTGAGATAAATTTAAGAAAATCATAAACATGCTTAAACAGACTGAAATGATTAATCTATTCCTTCCATGGATGCCAAACCGTTATGGTTCAAGTAGATACAGTCAAGTAAAGCTGTTATCTATGAAAAAGAGTTTTGCTGTTATTTTTCTTAGTTGACTTGAGAGTAAGTTAGATTTATATTATCATACATAGTCACGACATAAGGTGGGACTATCATGACTTCACCATCTAATTACTAGCAAATGGTACCAACTAATCATTAGTTCACTGAGTTTTACAGATCTCTTAAAAAGTGAAGAAAATAATCAAGTCTAGTTTTTGAAATCTGTACTTTCTTGTTATTTCTCTTGAGTTGTGACAGGTACAATTAAAAGCTTGCTGAATACAATGCCTTTCTGGCAGCAGAAAATGGAAAATCAGGGAGGGCATTCTGTTTGCAGTCATCTGTCACATTTGTAAGCCTTTCAGAAGTCATTACTGAAATCCAGAACTTGCCAATATGATATTAAACTTGTTAATATAATATATTGCACTGTAACAAGAATCTTTGAATAATGTTAGTTGTCATAGGAACATCTATCCACATTCAAATAAATTATGAAGTGCAATCCCTGGCAACTAAATGCTCACATAAAAAAAAATTGTATTGAGACACTATTGCTGGTAGTCCTTATTCATTCTTTATAGAATTTATATGTGTAATTTGTTTCTAATATTGCACAGTAACTTTTTTCATAGCTTTATTTATAGTGGTCAATTTTGCCAAAAGAGATAATCACCAGAGCACATATCTATAGAGTATACATACTTTTCAACTGATTGTTACCATATAAATTAAAAAATGTGAGGAGATTGTGGTGGCATAACAACTGGCTATAAATATGTGATCAATACAGGCAGACAAATAATTAAATAAAAATCCTTTAACTGGCTTGTTTCCAAAGCATTCAAATGCAGTTTGAATGAAACTCAAAATTTAATTCCCCTATGTCTCAACCAAGCATGAAAAGTATTTCAACTCTCCCTGTTATTCATGCTGGTCAAGTAGAAGAAAGAGATTGGACAGGAATGGTGAGCTACAGAAATGGTTAAATCAATAGTTTGTTTAGAACTGTAACACATGTTATAGTAATATATGTCTGCTGCCTTGATAAAAAAATTTAATCTCTTAATTGAGTTTTTGCTAATACAATTACCTCAAGAGACATTGTGGTAGTAGATTAATATGCAAAGATGAAATGTGCTTAGTATTCTAACTGTAAACCATATAATGACTGGCATATGGAGTAGTAATGCCTTAGAAAGGCAAGGAGTACTGTGCACATTTATCTTTGCTTTAATTAGAAATGAACAGATCCATTTTTTTTAGAAAAGAAAAAGAAAAGAGGTGGGGTGGGTATAGATGGTAAATCTCTTAATAGCATAACTGAAACTGCACTCCAAACAATCTAAATGGCTTCTTTCCCTTTTTAGAGGACATGACTGGACGTGAAATGTATGTCACAAGGATGTGCATTTTACATGTACATTGCACAAGATTGGCAAAGGATATGTATTTGCCAGTCTTCCCAATTTAGCCCCTCCTGATGCTGTGCATTACTTTCTTACAGAGGCAGTAGTATCAGATTTTGCTGCTGGCTGCTGCTAACACCCTTTATTTGTTCAGCCCAATGCAGACAGCCAATGTTTCCCCTGTAATAGTGGAAATATTAATAGTGAATTTATGTTCCAGGACAGTACCTTTTTAGCTGAACGGCCTTCAGCAGATGAATCAACTGTCAGCAATACCTTGCCCTTTGATTTCACCAAACCAGATTCTACTTCAGATGTTGAACAGTCTAATGACAATGAAATCTGGCCAAGACCAGAAAATCTGGACTCTGAGGACAGTTTGGCACCTGAATCTCCGCTCTCCTCAGAGGCTGACATCACTTCTCTGCCTGATGGGCTGAATTTAGAAGATGTGAATCAGACTCCTCATTTGACCACTGCACCAGTGTTAGGGAGCGATTCTGTGGACTCTCTGGAATGGCTTTCAGCCCCCAGTTCTCTAGATGGTAAGTTAATGTCATTGACTGAAGTTTAAGTTTGGATGACAATGTTGCCTGAAACTCACCAAAGGTATTGTTCACAAAAATTACTTTTCAGAAAGGTCAAAAAAATTTGGTATCTCCTTCTTACGGTTTTTACCTTTCCTATGTGCATGTATCCAAGAACAATGTGTCAAGATAAAATGTTTATGACCACTAATAATGCCTGTTTATTCCTTCAGGAAATGGTATGCACATGATATTTGTTTAATTGCACAGAAATATTTTCATATAAGGATGTTTAGGTGATGCCATGCAGAGATAACTGATCTCTGAAGTAGACTGTCTAGCCTAAGGGCATGCCACACAGTCACTGTTTTATTGCTTATACTGCAGTCTTGACTTTTCCCATAGAATATTTGAATGAAAGGTAGGAGAGGTTAACAGGGGTCCTTCTGACTTCTGCATACAAAGTCCAGGATATATCACAGGAAACATGCTGAACACAGACCTACAAACAACAAAACAAATGGAATTAGATATTTTTTTATCATAAACAACTCTCACAGCATTATCCTAAAGAAACTGACTGCTCATTACTTGGATGAGCGTACTCTTTGCTGAGTAACAAACTGGCTGGTGGTTAAACCCACTTGGTGGTCAGTCACAAGTGGTATTCGTCAGGGCTCAGTTTTGAGGCCAGTTCTGTTTAATCTTTATCAATGATCTGGATGAGGGGATTGAGCACACCCTCAGTAAGTCTGAAGATAACACCAAGTTGTGCAGGAGTGTTGATCTGCTTGAGGGTGGAAAGGCTCTACAAAGCAATCTGAACAGACTGGATCAATCAGTGGAGGCCAACTGTATGAGGTGTAACAAGACCAAGTGCTAGGTCCTGCACTTGGGTCATAAAAACCCCATGCAATGCTACAGGATTGGGGAAGAGTGGCTGGAAAGCTGCCAGGCATAAAATGACCTGGGAGTGTTGGTCGACAGCCAACTGAACATGAGCCAGCCATCACAGAATCACAGAGCCATCTTGAATACTTTGTTCGGTTTTGGGCCCCTCACTACAAGAAAGACATTGAGGTGCTGGAGTGTGTCCAAAGAAGAGCAATGAAGCTGGCAAGGGGTCTAGAGCACAAGTCTGATGAAAAGCGGCTGAAGGAACTGTGGTTGTTTAGCTTGGAGAAAAAGAGGCTAAGGGGAGACCTTATCACTCTCTACAACTACCTGAAAGGAGATTGTTGTGAGGCAGGTGTTAGCCTCTTCTCCCAGGTAACAAGTGATAGGATGAGAGGAAATGGCCTCAAGTTGTACCAGGGGAGGTTTAGATTGGATATTAGGAAAAACTCCTGCACTGAAAGGGTTGTTAAGCAGTGGAATGGGCTTCCCAGGAAAGTGGTAGGGTCACCATTCCTGGAGATATTTAAAAGATGTGTAGATGTGGCAGTTAGGGATGTGGTGAGCTTGACAGTGTTAGGTTTACAGTTGGGCTTGATGATCTTAAAGTTATTTTCCAACCTAAATGATTCAGTGCTTCTAATTGCAAATTTATTTTTAGTGTTTGATGATACTGGACTAGCTGAAGACCTTCTTTTGCCTTCAAGTCCTTCGCCTCACCTCATGCCTGAAGAACCTCCATCTACAGACGATTATGCAGTTCCTCTGCTTTCTGCACCAACAGTGGCCTCCTCATCAGTCATAGAGACTGATATTCAAGAAATAGTATCTACTGAGAAGCAAGAAGTAACTCAGGATAGTCCTGAAGACAGTGACAAGGCAGACTCTGTATTACATGAGTCTGTGGAAGAAATTAATTTGCCCTTAGAAGTACAACCTATGGAAGATGAAACCGATATATATCTTGGAGACAAAGTTATATATGATGATGGATCTGGTTCAGCGTTTGATGGTTCAGGAAAAGAAATGGAATCAAGTATTTGGCCTTGGGAGGAAGCAACACTGGAACCAGTTTTCTACCCTAGTCCTGATACCTGGCTTGAAGATGACAATGAGTCTTTGTTAATCAGAACTGAAGAAGATATTCCTGAAGGCATGATCTTAGACTATATTCTTAACTCTGGGAATAACTTAGATGATGTTCCTTCCAAAGAAGATAATGAAGGTATGGCCAGTATAAAAGATATCCTCAATGAGTCTGAAATATTTGTCTTTCCAGAAACTACAACACAGCAGGCACCTCTGTTACAGACGATAGAGCCATCTTCTATGGAACTACCTACACAGACAGAAACATCAGTCATATATGATTCTTCTTTTGTTAAACCATCCTTGGTTTTGGAGCCTTCAGTGGACCATTCTTTTGCAGACATGCCAACTGGAGAGGCCCCTGTCTCACTGCACAATACAAGTCTGTCAGCAGAAGATAGTCTCCTTACATCTACAGGGACCGTCAGTACAGAGCAATCTGAAGAGTCCAGTGTAGATCAGAACATAGTTCCAGAAACAATTGAACAGCAAAATGAAGACAGGAAAATGGTAGAAGAACTATTCACAGTGGGGCAGTCAGATGTAACTGAAGCTGCTACAATAGGCCACATGGACACAAGCTCTTCAGAAACTATTCTGACGGGAAAACCTGATGCTTCCACAGAAGAGCAACAAATCCTAGATTCATCATTGGCAGATCAAGACACCATTGGATCAGCAGTGAAGAAAACAGCTGATGTTTGGCCTACTGATCAAACAGTGCAATCAGCAACGCCAACTGCCACTCAGGTTTCAACTGTAGTTCCTTCTGTAGTAGATCACACCACTGTTCTAGAGGGGTTCACTCTGCAGGGTGGCACAGGCCATGACACAGATGCTTCCGTGAGTTTCAGCACTGTCATGAACCCGTATGTAACAGTGAGTGTGACAAGCAGCACTGTTGAACTTCCAGCATCATCGCCTGTGGCTACCTCAACAAAGCCAGGAGATGAAACGATGAGAGTCCTGGATGTTTCAGTAGACCTGGATCATGTGAGCACCGTCCACTTTTCTCCTGAGCTGACTGGGGAGGGAAGGAGAATGACTGAAAGTCACATGGAGCTAACAACGCATGTCCAGTCCACAGAGATGGCCAGTGTGGCTTGGGCCACACATGAAAATCGCAGTAGTACTCCTATCCCATCACGTGCTCTAGTTGTGTTTTTCAGTCTTCGGGTTACCAACATGATGTTTTCAGAGGACCTGTTTAATAAAAACTCCCCTGAATACAAAGCATTGGAGCAGCGATTCTTGGAACTGGTAAGAATAATTTCTATACTGAAAGTCCATTACCGGACAGATAAAAGTTGTTGGTAAATAAAAGTTTGCTGACTCTCTTTTGCAGAGAGCATCTCAAGACTGGTGTTTACTGAAATTCTGTTCCTCCATAGGAAAATTCTGTCTGGGATGTGTGTGTGTGTTTGTTTTGGGTTTTATTTGGGTTTATACAGCAGTCTCTTTAAAGCTTAACTTTTTAGGGCTATGAGCCAGATGCTCTGCTGGTGTCAATAAAAGGAGCAGTGTAGCTGAAGTCACTACAATACTCCACTTGCTTGCTTCCAGAGTACTCTGTATTTAGTCTATTGGGAGAGAGAAGTAAATAAATAGAGGCTGTGTGGAGGTAAGTTTTCTGCAATACATTCAATCCATGCTCTAAGTAAGAGGAAATTCAGGGAACTAGGCTTTTCTCAAATGGACCGATGACTATCAAAGCCTCACAGGAGTTATGCAACAACAGTTGCCAAAAATTAACCAGGAAATTCCCCTCTCCTGACTGAAATGAACATTTTGTTGTGGGAGATGAAGGGACCAAAAGAGAGAGAGAGAAAGGGGACATGCTTGAAGGAAGTACCCTATGAAATGGTGAGTATGCCTGGTGCTTAGATCAAGGGAGAGCACCGTGTATGTTCTGAGAATTGTATTTCTGAATCACAGATTTTTGGAAATTCTCTGCAAATTGGTGTACTCTTAAGAACTGTCTGATGTACTGGGGGTCCTGGCAAGCTGCCAGCGTAAGGCCCCATTGGGTAAAATTTTAATACCCTTGCTGTAGCATTTGGATAAAATAATTCAGACTCCCACTGTCTGATGCAATAACAGTGCAACTGGCTTGAGCAGAGATTCAAAAATTCAGCTTTTCTGTCACATGCCCTGTATTGCAGCTGGTGCCCTACCTTCAGTCAAATCTGACGGGCTTCCAGAATCTGGAAATCCTGAACTTCAGAAATGGCAGCATCGTGGTGAACAGTCGAATGAAATTTGCCAAACCTGTGCCTCGGAATGTCACCAATGCTGTGTACATGATCCTGGAAGACTTCTGCAACACTGCGTATCACACCATGAACCTGGCCATTGATAAATACTCCCTGGATGTGGAATCAGGTAAGGACGGCAGAGAAATGCAGTTTGGAGCAAGGCATTTAGAGCAACTTCTGCTTTAAGAACATAAGACTGCTTTTCACTGCTTTTGGAAGACAGTCTTTCGCAGAGTTAAAACAAACAAACAAACGAAAATCTGTTAAGGGACTAAAGAGATGAAAATCAAATGGGACCCTGACTGAGGAAACTATATGAGGCCCATACAGAAATATGGGGAAAAAACTGGATCATGGAATACTCTATATAATGCCACTGCACTTTCGCTGGGGAGTGAGGGGAAAGGCTGGTCAGCACAGTGATGCATGTGATCATTCCCACAGGTAATAGCCAGTTTAGTTGCCAAGAAGGCATCTGCACAGGTAACAGCTGCTGCCTCACTCTTGTGATAAGGTCTTGGTTGCACTAAAAAGTTACAGGCCCTCTTAGTTCCCTCTTCTGATACAGGGATAAATTTTTTACCCCTGTCCAAGTTAGCCAGTAGTTTACCACAGAAGTAACTCAGAAATATTTCCTGTTTTAAGGTTAGAGAAAAGGAACAGTGCTGACCTGTTGGCAAATGGTAGCTGTTCTTCTGAGGTAGGTCTCTTATAAAGAGGGACTAATTAGCATGACAAATCTTCTGATATTGATAATTTAACTGTATGCCAAGCCTCTTAAGCTTGATAACAGTGATATCTCTCAATATGACAAGCTTGTGCTCTTTGCAGACAAAAGCAAATCACTTCACAGTAGGTTGAAGTCCCATTCTCCTTTCTCTGTATGGTGCCTAGATTTTCTGTTACAAGAAATACTGGAGATCAGCTGTGTTTTACTCATTTGCAAAATATAGTTCCAGCATACAGAGAACATCTGAGGTACTACACATTCCAGTAAGAATATTTTATACTTGCTTTTTTTGACCAGCTTGTTGGGCGGTCTTAACCATACCACTGACCTGCACTGTGCAGACAGAGGAACACTTTCTAGCACTTGTTCACCTTAGCAGAACCTTTTTTTACTCAAGAAAGATGCATGCTGGATTTTTGCAGAGTATTTCAACTAAGGGACCATTAGAAAAAATGGCAGCAGCCAGCCAGCGCTTTGCCTCAATTCAGGTTCTCCTCTATCCTTAGTATTTTCTGCTTTGTGTATTCTCAGGTGAGCAAGCAGATCCCTGCAAGTTCCAGGCCTGCAATGAGTTCTCAGAATGCTTAGTAAATCGCTGGAGTGGGGAAGCTGAATGTGTCTGCAATCCTGGCTACCTAAGCATCGATGGGCTGCCATGCAATAGCATTTGTGATCTGCAACCAAACTTCTGCCTGAATGATGGGAAGTGCGACATAAGCCCTGGGCAAGGGGCCATCTGTAGGTAGGTCATCCTGCTATTAGGAGTATGTGCTTCCTGTATGAAAACCCCTTATTCTTTCCTCCGTTGTAGCATTCTACAAGATTTGTGCAAAATTTCATGAGATAATGAGTAACAAGTGAGATTATAATGATTATCATTCATGTTATGCTGCTAAGTGAAGGTCCCAATATTAATGTTTGTTTTCCTATGTATATATCGGAAATGAGACTGTAACAAATTTCTTGAATAGAATAGAAACATCAGGAAATAAAAATAACTAGGGAAAATGGTAGCAGTGGAATGCACTCAGTTGTTCAAATCGCCTTAATTGACCTTTGGGGACAGAATTCAAATCCAGAGGTTTTTTCAAGTAGCAAAGTGTTATAATGTCATGAAGCATATGAGAGTTAAACCCATCACAAAAATTCATACCATATAGCATGAATATATTAAAAATAGTGCTCTTCATTAAGAAAAAAATCATAAATCATTTTCCATTTGGGAAAAATCATGTATGGTTCATAAAAAGACCAAGGCACAGGCCCCCTGGTTAAAAGTTTTACTTTTAAAAAGATACAGATGCATTTAAACAAGATCTTTTATTATGCAGGTCACAGAAAAGACTTGGTACAAGATATAAACAAATTGATGCTCCCTCTGATATTGAATTTATTTTTTTTCCTTTTCAAGCAATGTAACAGTCTCTTTTTAAAAACAAAATATACCCATTAACAAAAGGTAGGAAACTTACTGCAAAAAAGAATATTACTCCTGCTAGCTATTATTTATGTTATTTTAGGTGATTTTGTTTTTTAAAAGCTTATCTAGAACATCTCTAAAGTCAATCTTAGAGTCCTAGCAGTCAATGGGAGAAATAAAATGTTTTTAAAGCTGCAAAAATGGATACTATCACAGATGTACTATACATTTTATCATATTTGTATAACTATTAATTAGAAACAGGTAAATATCTGAACTCAAGCATACCTTGGCCAGCATTTATTAAGACCTTTTTGAAAAATTTAAAGTTTTGCTTACTACTTTCAGAAACTATTTCAGATATTTGTTAGAAGACTTACTATGTTTCTTATTAATAAGTTTCATTGCTTTGAGTGGTCATAATACCTTACAGTTCCTGGGGTTTTTATAGGAAGAAATCCCAAACACACATAATGAAAAAGTATTATTTCTACTTGTATGTTTAAAGTCAGTATTAATGTTAAAGTTCTCGTGTTCAAAACCACAGCAAGGCAGAAATACTGAATGCTGTTTTGGGCAACTGTTCCAAAGATAGAATCTTGGACACACACTTCTGTCTACTCATTTATTTTATGTATCCATTTAACTAACCAATGTGGTGTTCACTACACTATAAACATTCTATTTGTTTAACACACCTTCACTTGTATTTACATTACAATATGATTGAGACAACAGCTTTCTACCTTTACAGTGTTTGAAACGTCACGTGCAAGGTTCAATCAAGGTCTAACTTTTTACTTAGTCTAAACACCTTCCAATTCTAACACATACAAGGATACTCTAAATTGCAAAAAACCACACTCTTTTTCCATCACAAATGCATTATCTTTTTATTATTTTATCTATCTTCACTCAATACAGTAATTGGGGTTGTTCAGCCTTGAGAAGAGGAAGCTCCAGAGAGACCTTACTTTGGCATTTCGGTATTTGAACAGGGCTTATAAGATGGGGACAGACTTTTTAGCAGGGCCTGCTGCAATAGTACAAGGGGTTATGGTTTTAAACTAAAAGAAGGTAGATTCAGCCTATATACAAGGAAGAAATTTTTTAGGATGGAGTGGAGAAACACTGTAATGGGTTGCCCAGAGAGGTGGTAGATGCCTGACCCCTGGGAACATTCAAGGTCAGGTTGGATGAGGCTCTGAGGGACCTGATCTAGTTGAAGATGTCCTTGCTCATTGCAAGGGGTTGGACTAGATGACCTTTAAATGTCTCTTTCTACCCAAATCACTTCATGATTCTATATCAAAAAGCCTGTTCACAATAATAATCATAAAAGAAAGTCAATGCTTGAACATTCAAAGGTATTTATTGAGGTGACTTATCTGAGGGCACCTGGTAACAGCAAGTTAAGTATATTTACATTAACCAAAGTTTTCACTGGTGTTTAATTTCCCTGTGTTTCTTTGTTTCAGGTGTCGTGTGGGAGAAAACTGGTGGTACAGAGGGGAGCACTGTGAAGAATACGTGTCTGAGCCACTGGTTGTGGGTATTGCAATTGCTTCTGTGGCAGGATTCCTTCTTGTGGCATCTGCTGTCATCTTCTTTTTGGCCAGGACCCTTCGAGACCAATATACAAAGAGTGACACTGAGGACTCACAGGGGTAAGTGACACCATCTAATATTTTAGAACACATCTGCTAGAATAAGGATAATTCTCTCATAAGTCTTATGTCACACAGTTGATAAGCAAGAGAATGTACAGGTGCCTCCAAATGCCAGGCTTCCTTAATCTATCTGCTGCCTTTCCAGGCTGCAGAGAAGCTCACAGTTTGCTTGTTTATTGCTCCCCCAGGCAGGGTGACAGCCTTTCGTCCATTGAGAACGCAGTTAAATACAACCCCATGTATGAAAGTGATACGACTGGCTACAGCCATTATTACCGGAGATACCCTCAGCTAACGTCCTACAGTTCTACCAGTGCAGAGACATCCACAGACTACAGCAGTGAAGAGATCAGGCATATTTATGAAAACAGTGAGCTTACTAAGGAGGTAAATGGCCTTGTTCTCATAGTGGCATGGAAAAGATAATGAAAACAACAACATTATTACACACTTGTAACCTGAGAGGTGGGCCAAATCTTTCCCCAGTGTGTCCTAGATAAAAAAGTTGCAGCTATGGCTGCTGCAACTATTTAAGAGAAGAAAGGATCTATTTCCCTATTTGCTCTTAGGTATAGCAAAAGGAATGGGTGTGTTCTGACCTGTAATGAATTCCACATGATAAAGCAGCTGACTGCTTAAGTGACTTCATGGAACCAGGGGAGGCTTGCTGCTGTATTGCTTGACACAGCCTTTAGCTTTTAAAGCAAACTACCTTATGTAAGAGTAATTATGAGACGAAAACATGACATATCCAGGGCCTCTTTAAAGGTTTTGTGGGTTTTTTTTTTAAGTTTAGGTCTTTCTATAACCTGCAAGTTAGACCACATCATTCTCCTTTCTTCCTCTATACACAGTATCCAGACTTTACTCTAGAAGGCTAAAAAGAAGGGATTTACATCCAGGAACTAACCACAGATCCTTAAGCAACTGTGAGAGGTGTGAATCTAGCTTGTAGCTGGGCTTGCAGGCAAAGTATCTATGATAGATAAATGGTTTTGTTAACGCCTGTTGAAATGCCACACTCTATGCAAACCCTGCTTTTGATTTTAAAGTACAGTATTACTGGATTCCAATGAAGTGCTTCACTTAAAAAAAAAAAGGTGTACAGAAGAATTTTAGTATTGGAGTGCCCAATTTCAGTCTCTACTCCTTGAAATAGCAAAGCATAAGAGTTTTATTTTACAAAAGCGAGAACGCAGATATTTCAGTAATATTTTAATGTCTGTTATGTACTTACAATTATTTTTCTTGTATTCTAGGAAATTCAGGACAGAATTCGAATTATAGAGCTCTATGCTAAAGACCGTCAGTTTGCAGAGTTTGTTAGGCAGCATCAAATGTGAGTGAAATTTCTTGTCTGAGTAACTAATTTGATGTTTTCTCATGTGGCCTTTACTACATCACTATATTTTTCATATGAAGGGTCTAGAAATGCTGGGAGACTAGAGGTTAATAGAAATAATAATGTCAACTTTATTTCTGAAGAGATTCAACCCTTTTAAAGTACTTAAAATAATCAGTGTCAAAAGCAGATAGTCCCAAAAGGTATGCTAAAAGCAGGGAAGAGGAATCCCAAAGTTAAAGGGTGTCAGAGAAGGACTGACATTGATTTATGTCCTTAAAAGCACCGATAGACCCTTCTTAACTCTTCTAGCGTAGTTACTATCACCTAGTGTTCTATTTAAAATAGAAATTTTAAAAGCATGTTAGTTTATCTTGAATTCTCAAGACTTGGCAACTAACCAAAAACCAGTAGATCACTAGTACATCCCTGTCTGGTGAGTATCTACCACAATAGAAAGGTTACACTTCCAAACAAATAACCAAACTGAGCTGTGAGCTTTGATGCAAGTTAACCATGAAAAAAGCCATCAAGGAATTAATTATACTCCTATGAACTGTACTCTCACTATAGCAAGCAGCAAATTACAGGTAGCTGGATTAGTTTGACAGATACTGTAGTACAGTTCCTTGGGATCCTATTAAAAATAGCTAGAGTAGTAAAAACCTTGTGTTTCAAGATCATCAACTATCCTTTTTTTTTAATTGAAAATAACAGCAGTTCACATTTTTTCCTTGTCAGTTGCTCATTTTTTCATCTTGAAAAGGATCAGGGTCTAAATTTTCCACAGCTGGAAAGTAGTAAGGGCTGCCTCATATAAGCCTCGAATCCAATGTTTGAAAGACACTAACTTAATCATTGCTTCTCTGTTTCTTATTTCAGGAAGCTGCTTTAAGAAAAAAAGAAATTGGTAGAATGCATGTGGGAGATAAAGACTACCTTGTTGCCATAGCAGTGGGCTCAGATGTAACTGCAAAGTTACTTATAGTCTTAACATTGCATGGATGGATACAGATGTTTTCTAAATGAATGGCTAAAATGTGCAGATGTCTGTTTATCTCAATTACTTCTGGCTTTTCTGTGTAAAGTGACATTTCTAAGAGGTGATCAGAAGTGGCTGAGGCTATGAAAGTTCATTTTTCTTTAACTCTGAAATGGACAGTGAAAGTTTGTATACCAAGGCATAAAAGTCTCCTCAGGTAAGAGAAGATACATGCACAATGAAAATAAAATGAACATTTAAAATGTCTGTCTGTCATTTATCCCCTCACTGGAGGCTACTGTAGTGATTTCACAAGTATAAAGCACTAGTGAATTGACTACTTTCAAATATTTGGTTTACACACAAATGATTTGTAGGAGAGAACTATTGTGCTAGAATGGTATTAGCATTACTTTATATCATTCCCATTATAAACAGAAACATAACATCCTTAGATAAATTGTTCTTTTGTACAGATGCCTGATGTACATTTTGTCACCTGGCATTAGCCAAAGAAAAAGCACAGTATTGAGCCTGAAGCCCTCTGAAGGCTCTCCCTAACAATAAGCATCACTACTCCCTGTCAGTGAACCCATGGGGTGCCTCAGCAAAGCGGGGCAGTACTTGTGCAGTACAATGCAGTGTTTTTAAAGCCAGGTTGGTTGGTTCTCCAGCTGTTCCTGGCAGACACATAAGCTGGGGCACAGAAGGACTTCTATCATACACGTGTTCCGTGAAGCTCAAGTGACTAACATTGACTTTTTTTGTATGTAGACAATTTGATATTTTGTAAGTTAATGTGCATTATTTATTTGTTGCGTATTCCCCTAAGTTTTCATAATGGATTTAATTGTTGAAGTAGAAAGATGAATAGTTTAATGATGAAATACTACAGTGGCATTTGTGCCCATACTTTTAAAAATATATATTTAGTGTTTACTCAATGTTGAATTCAGCCAACTACTATTTGAATTCTTTTACTGAACTGAGCAATAGCCTGCCATGAGCTCTGTTTCATAATCAGGTTCTGATACTTAAATGCATGCATATTTGGTAGATGGCAGCACTTTCCTATGGGGAAGGGAAAAAATTATATTATGCTTGGCTAAGTGGAAGTCAGTGTAAAATTCCTTAAACAGAAGAAGACAGCATGAAGCATTTTTAAATGGCTGAATTGAGATGGGGACCTCCGAGCTACACAAATGGAGTTTTATCTTCAAGTTATGAAGAGAGTTCTGACTACCCGTTAAGATGTGTTGGGACTTTGCTCAGCCACCCAGTGTCTCATTTAAGGCATTGACACAGCTGTCTGGGTTAGGGGACTAATAGTTTCACGTTAGCTTCTGCTAGCAAACAAGGCCAAGTTATTTGTTATTTCTACAAAGTCTGTAGTTCTCGGCCCATATGTGCCAACAGCCACCTGATACTTTCTAAAGTTAAGTGACAGTGAGAGTTACTTACTTGTCTATAGGCAGCTTGGCTAAACAAGTTAATATTTCAATGCAATTCTTCTATGTGTTCTGGAGAACCTCACCGGTTCACTTGATAGTATCTTCTTGCCTTGGGTGGCAGGGAATGGCTATCAGAGCCACACGTCTGTCAAAGAAATGCTTACATAAACCACTGTAAGCCCAAATAACGCAAGACAGCAGGAGGTAATATGGTGCTGCTGAGCATCGTTGTGACTAGAAGTTATGAGACAGGGGCCCCGTTCTGCTGGGTGACCCAAGGGTTCTCAGAGCAGTTGGTCCAGACTTTCTGAGGTACAGTGCACTCCCTCCTGCCCCTGCAGCAGCAGGGCTGAGCCACCCTGTAACACCAGGACCTGTGGTCATGGTCACTGCATGATGTAGAGAAGTACTGAGCTCAGGGTGGGCATCAACTCACGACTTGTTTCTGTGCAGCTGGGCTGCCAGCCCTGGGAAATTGCTTCAGTGCTGCTTCTGCTAAGCACAGCAGTGGATGGTGGCTGGGATCAGGCGTGTTTAAGGTATTCTGGTATTTGCTGTGCACAAACTGGTGAGAGTTCTGCTTACACCGAGTATGAGGTATTTTGGTGTATATACAGTGAATCTTTTCTTTGTGTGTCTGTGTATATATATGAACATAATGGTATCTTATTTTCACTACAATAAAAAAATTATTTGCAAAATATTTTTTCTAGTAAATTAATATAGAGACTATGAGTTTGATATGAAGAGAGAAGGTATCTTAGACATGTTGATTTGTGCATGTAGGATCGGAAGGTTTGTTGTTTTTCTAAACAGAGTTGGTTAAGCTGTTAAACTGCTTTACTAACAAAGGTGCCAAATGTAGTTCACTATTACTTGCAACATTGTATTCTGAAAATTCACACTTGAAAGCACATAATTGAGTGTTTTGCTTTAAGCTCTTTGCCGCTTTTGAAGATGTTTGAGCTCTAATAAGAGAGCCAAAACATGCTGTTACTTAAGTGATCTTGAAGTCTTAAACCAAAACTGAACAACTCCTCCACTTCAAACCTCTTCATCTAAACTGTTTGATGATGCATCTTACAACACATCAGGAAGGACTTAATGAACTTTCTTTGATACTTTCCCAAGCCAGAGACAAAGAACTCTTAATATCCTAACCAAAAAAAAACAACCAAAACCAACACAAACCCAAACCAAACCAGCTATGTGTACAAATTAACCAGTACTTGTTATCAGTTAACATGCAGTTGTTACTTGCTGAAAGTAAAAAGTGCAGGTTTGAATGAATTGGCTTGATTTAATAAAATGCACAAAAGCAGGTATTGTTTACTGAACACCAAGCAGAAACTACAATTTTCTCCTCTCTCCTCTAAAACAAGGAAGCACGAATAAAGTTCAGATTTTTAAGAACTTACAGTTTAATTGCTAAAATGAAAAAAAGCCTTTAACAATCAAGACACTCATTCATGTTTCTCATCAGACCTGCTGCAATTGGTCCTTGTTGTGAAAGCCTGGAAAAGGAACATGAGAGGACTTTGAGCGTTCTTCAAGTGGAGTTCATAGAGAGCAGGGAAGCTAAGGTGCTGGAGCTTCAGTGCAGAGACAGTCATGTCATCCTATTAAAACACAAAGCAAAAATATTCACCAACACCAATTAATCTATCTGTAAGCACTGTAGGACAGACACAGACTGACTTCATACAGCATATGAAATGCAATGAGGCATTGTTTCTATTTAAATATTAGTAGAAAGCACACAGCAATTTCATGGCACTTTCTTTACTTGAATTGTACTATAACATCAGCAGTATTTCTGTCTTATCTTTCCACTATTTGATCCAGTCTGGGAACACATGCTTTATGTTCTACATACCATCCATCCATTTGCTTTGGTTTCTCAACTGAAAAAAAATAAAATCCAAAGCTATTTCTGGTTCAGGAGAGAGAATTTTTTCATTTTCAGTCCAAGCAGGGAAGTTTTGTTTTTGTCACATTCAATACTAGTCAGCTCTCCTACTCCAGATTATTAATGACCCCCAGGAATTTTAGTTGAGTCCTCTTGGACTCTCTCCCGTGCTGCCTCTCACCCTCCTTTCTGGGTCACCCACTGCACTTAGCAGTGGGAAACACACGGCAGTCACCTCTGCTTGGAGGATGACAGCAGGTTGCAGGACTGAAATGACAGCTTGGCTGAGGTTCTGCAGCTGTTCAGAAGGAGCCAGTTGAACACCACTTCAAAACTTGTGCTTTTAGTTTTCCTGTGTTTATAACTCAACACAAAACCAAATTTCCACTCTTATTTGTTTCAGGATGACAAATACCCTCAGTACTGGAATTTTGTGGGACGCATGCCAATTTGTTATTTTCTATATAAATTCTATTGTTAGCACAATTAAGGACTATCTTTATGTATTAAATATATAAGTTGGAATAAATGACACTTAAAGCTTGATCTTTTATAAGCCCCCCCCCCCGCTTTCTTTTACACAACAAAAATAACAAAAAGTCTGTCTTAAATCATTGAAAGTTGAAATGTTATTCAAAAGTCTCATATTAAACACAAATCAGAGTTAGTGTTAACTGGAGTTACGATTGCATCTTCACAGCTGATTACCAGATGGGGAAACTATGCCTTTCTGGAAAGGCTGACGTAGCTTGAACAGAAATGAAAGCGGGAACAATAATGGATACGGCCATACATCAAAACTTCATGCAGTAATGCAGGCATGTGGCTGGATAAAAGAGGGCAGGGGAAGAGGCACACTCTCAGTGGTGACCATACAAGCAATCCCAAGAGTGAAAGACCTCCAGCTGCTCACAAGAGTCAGCTACAAGGAAATTCACTTAGCTCCACCTAAAGAGGATTACACAGTGATTAAATGATCTCTCATCCCAGAAAGGGAGGGAGGCGCAAAGCACTTCTAGCAGCCGCGCAGAGCTCAAGTCTCCTAGCGTGACCCACAGGTAATTGCTGGCTGCAGTTTACTGTTCACAGTTCCAGTCATCTGCTCAGTAAGGGAGTGGCTGTTCTTCCTGTCCCTATTTTCAGAGGGTTTTGATCCATAAAAATGCTTTATAGAGTTCTCCAGTAAACTAGAGATCACTGCACAGCTTTTTTTTCTTTTTCTTTTGTTATTTCTTATTTAAAGTTTTGATTAAAAAACCCAAACACAAACAACCGCCAACAAAAAGAATAATCAAAAAAGCCTCCCACACTTACTTTTTTTTTAGGGTTTGCCTTCTCCCCTTAGGCACGGATGGAAACCCACAGCCATGGCGGGAAGGCAGTATGGTTCTACAGAGCTCCTCCACAAGGAGCTCTCACTTTGCCCTTCTCCCCACCACACCAGTATTTACAATGTCAGCTCATGTCTGTCTGCTTTAGAAACATCAAGCAAACCACCCAACTCCACACTGAAACATCCTCACAAGGCTTGCAGTGAACATGACTGGAGCAGAGACTGACATTTCCAGAGAGTCAAGTCTTTTAATCATGCATATAGCTCCCGAAGGGATATCATGTCTCATGCAACACTGAATACACCAAGCTAACAGAAAGCAGAACCAGTGGATAGATGACTTAAGAGTAAAGCTGATGGTACCTGTTTTGGTGGCATCTCTCAGCGCACCACATGACTCCACTGACATTTTTCAAAGTCCTATGCAACCTGCAGTTGCCACATCCAGAGATAAGCGGGGGGGAGGAGTAACTACAGCACAAGTATCTAGCAAAGAAGGTTAATTGG